AAAGGGAAGGATGTTCTGGAGAAGTTTGTAGGGGAGAAGGATTGTGAAGTGATATGAGCTTTACAAAGAAAGGAGAACTTACTAACGTTGAGTTGGCAGAAAGAAGGATTGATTTGAAGAAGTTGAAGGGAGCAGAGATAACTGGTAGTGTTCTAAAATTTAACTCTAATAACATGAAGGCTCGGAGTGTGGAAGTGAAGAGTAGGGAGGATCTTTTGAAAGCAATTGTGGTTGACGGAGATGTTGTCAGAGGTTATTGCTTGTTTGAAGAAGGTAAAGTTGAAGAGAGGATTGGGGGAGGAATTGGATTGCAATCGAGTAAGAGAAGAAAGTTGTGTTTTGAAAGTAATCCTATTGAATCTGTGAAAAACAAACAAATTATCAAAAAGAAAAGAGGTAGTGGTAGTATTAATTTGATTAAACGCCAAATGAGTAAGGGAGGTAGGAGAGGAGGAGGGAGGAGTCAAGGAGGTTCTGGTTTAGTATAAATGGAGACGGTGGAGAGCCTTTTGAGTCAAAGTATGATAAATTGTGCTAAAGTTCTTGGTGGTTGGCCTAAAACAGCCACCAAGAGGCCATGAAGATCCTAGCATGGAGCTATTAAGGTCTGGAAAGAGCCTTGACATTTAAGAAATTAAAGGAAGAATTCGCTAGACATAGACCTTCTATAACCTTCCTAATGGAAACAAAGATCAAGAAGAAAAGATTGGTAGAATTAAACAGATGTGCAGAATGGTGGAGGAATTTTATGTGGAGCCAAGGGCAAAGGAAGGTGGTTTGGCTCTGTGGTAGATGAGAGATGTGATTGTTAATATTTTGTCAAGCTTGAAGGATTTAATTCATGCTTCTTTAAAGTCTTCATTGACTCATGTCCCGAAATATGTAACATTTGTTTATGGTGCATATCCGGATGAGGAAAATAGGTTGGTTTGGGATGTGACGAGGGGATAGCAAGAAGGATTAACTGGTGTTAGCTTTGCATTGGAGATTTTAATGATGTGGTTTCAAGCAATGAGAAGTGGGAACCATTACCAGTAGATATAAGGAGGGTTTTTTATTTCTAGTGCATGCTTTCAGATTGTCAATTAGTGGATTTAGGTCATCAAGGATCAAATTTCACTTAGAGTAATAAGAGGTTAGATGAAGGGTATGTGAAAGAACGAATTGACATAGCAGTTGGAAATATGGATTTTAGGGGTGAATTCCAAAACAGTGTTGATTCATGTGAATCCAATAGGTTTAGATCATTATTTGTTAGTCTTTGACTGACTATAAATATAACAAAATTCAAAAAGTGTTTAGGTTTAAAGCTTGCCAGGCCGAACATAAGGAATTTCTTTCTGTTATACAGAAAGGATGGTGGTCTGAAGGAAATGATAGTTGCTGTGTGGATGTGTAAGTGGAAAGGTTGAACAATTGTAGGGAAGTACTGATTAAGTGGGGAAAAGAGGTTTTTCCTAATACTCAAAAAAGTGGTAGAGCAACTTCCTGCTTAGTTAACTGAGTGTAATAAGGGTGTGCTTAAGATGGAAAGAAGGATGGAAGCTGAATCTTCACTGAAGCAAATTGAAGAGGCTTGGGATAGGGAAAAGAAGTTTTGGTGGCAGAGATCAAGAGTTAGTTGCTTCAAGCAGGTGATAGAAATTGAAAATTCTTTCATTCTTGTACAATACAGAGAAGAATAAAGAATTAAGTGGTTAGATTGACAGGGAATAATGGTAAATATTTAGAAGAAGAAAAGAAAAACATGATGCTTTTATAGACTTTTACACGAAGCTTTTTGCATTAGAGGGGAGCTGCGATATGGAGGAGGCTCTTTCTTATGTTAATATGGTTATGTCACAGAAGGAGAGGGAAAGATTAGAAGCAAAGGTCACTATAGAGGAAATAAAATCTGCTACTTATCAATTGAATAGCTCCAAAGCTCTGGCTCCTTATGGTTATTCAGGTACGCTCTGTCAATCTTCCTCTCGGGCGGTGAGTAAAGAAGTGGTTGATAGGGTCTGTGATTTTTTTTCATAACACTTTGGAAAACCATGACAATTCTTTTAAAAAATATTTTCAGCAAATCGAGACAAATTCCTTTACATATTTACTTCTTATACTGTAAAATCACTTTTAAAACCATTATTTTATTTCCACCCAAACACCCCCATAACAAGTTTAAGAAAGTTGAATTGTACAAATGTGGTTCTTATACCCAAAGATCATGCTAAGAATATGGGACAATTTAGAACTATAGGACTTTGCAATTTTGTCTACAAAATTGTTTCAAAGGTCCTGCCACATAGGTCAAGTAGACTGTTAATGAGAATTATTTCTGAACATCAAAGAGCATTTGTAGCTGAAAGACTAATTCAAGATAACCTTTCATAGCCCGTAAAACTTTCCATTATTTGAAAAATTAAAAAAGGGAAGAAAAATGAAAATGGCTGTTAAAATAGATATGAGTAAAGCTTATGATAGGCTTGATTGGTGTTTTATGGAAGAAGTAATGAGGAAAATGGGCTTTGGAGAGAAATGGATAGCATGGGTTACGGAATGTATCAGGTTAGTTAGCTTCAATTCGGTAGTTTCTGGGAAGAAGATTGCAGATTTAAGGATGGAAAGAGGTATTAGATAGGAAGACCCTTTTTCTCCCTATATTTTTATTCTTGCAACTGATGTTCTATGATTCAAAAAATGTTGAGAATGGAAAATTGAAGAGGAATAAGGCTGGCAAGGTGATGAATCCATATTTTATATATGCTTTCATGGTTTATTTTGCAAGTTTTAGGACACTTTTATGGCTTAAATAATGATTATTTGGCACAGTTGAGTGCTAACGGCATTTTAGGAATCATGTGCTTAATTGCTATTAATTGATAATAATTATGTGATTTGTAATTTTAATTGAATTATTCTTCAGGTGATCATTAAGAATTTGTGCAAGTTAAATCACTTTGGCCCAGAGAGGAAAAGAGTTTTCAACAAAACCAATTCCATCATCTCATCTTCTTCTCCTTTATGTAGTAATTGTGACTTCTCTCTTCACAGTCTATCATCATCATCATTTCCTTTTCCCATCACTCTTCACCGAATCTTCCTCTCTCCACCTGTTCTGCCATGGCTAGAGCTTCATATCAATGGGTGGTTTCTATAATGAAGGCTAGGTGTATCTAAAACCCTCAATCCACCAGGTCACTAGTGATGGCTTGAACTTGGAACTTCAAATGGGAGTTTTAGCTCTTCCAATCTTTACTCCTTTGATTGTATTAGTGATTTCTAGTCTTAGGATGACTTTTATAATGTTTGGATATTTGTGATGATTTATTTTGTTTGGAGATCGGTTGTAGCTTTTAAATCTCATATTAGGATTTGACATTATGTTCTAATTAGCCTTAATTTCTTTATATTGTACTGGCTCAGACTATGTTTTAAAATTATTGTGAATATTTAGTGATAATTCAAGGTGGATTGGTTATTAGATCAAAAGTATTAATTGCTATCTTTGATTCTCTCTGTTAGTTGTGCTTAATTAGTTTAATCTTGGAAATTTAGTACTCAAGGTGGCTTGGTATTGATTATTGTCATTAAATGGAGTCTAACGGGTGGCCCCTAGAGTCTTTTGAAGCTAGTAACTCCCAAATTAATTGAATTAATGATAGCCTAAACCATTGTGCTAGAGGATTGCCATTTCATTGTTATCACCTGTTGATTTTCATATTTCATTTCACTCATACTATTTTTATAAACTAAAAACCCAAAAATATTTTACTCTTTTTGCATCTTATAATTTTTTCCAAATAGTTAGTTAAAAAAAAATCAATCCTTTTCCAAGTCAATTTTTGTATTTTTGCATATTTAGCTACTTAGGAATTTCTTTAAAGGCTCCCTAAAGTGAATACAATCCAAATTATGAACTATATTACATTAATTCGATTTATTTTGAAGTGGACCTAAGGCAACTAACAATTTGTTCTTCACATGAAAGTGTCCAATATTGTCTCACTAATTTTTTTCCTTGATGATGCTTTATTTTTTGTGAGTGCAAGAAAGCAGAATTGTAAGGTGTTGAAAGGCATATTAGATTGCTACTGTAAGACTTCAGGACAAGCACTAAATTTTGATAGGCCCTGTTTGTTTTTTTTCAAAGAATACAAGTGAGGATGTTAAGAAGGAAGTATATGAGGTTTCGAGGATTAAAGCATGTGATCATCCTAGTAAATATCTGGAAGTGCCAATGATATGGGGAAAGTCAAAGTCAGAGACTCTTTTGTTTGTTAAAAACAAGCTTAGTTTGAAGTTATAGGGATAGAAACAAAATTTGTTGACATTTGCAGGGAGGGAAGTGATGATTAAGGCAGTAGCAAGTATAATACCTGGGTGTCCTATGTCCTATTTCAGATTTCCAAAGAAGGTTTGTGTTGAATTGGATAGTATGAACAAGAAGATAGAATACATCGGAAATCTTGGAAATCACTAAGCTTTGCAAAAAGCAAGGGGAGAATGGGTTTCAGGAATCTAGAGTTGTTTAACAAAGTTCTCCTTACTAATGCTACATGGAGGTTGGTTCAAAATCCAGATGCTTTATGGTATAGGATTTTCAATAGTTTGTATTTTTCGGATAGTCATGTTTTGCAAGCAAAGCAAGGTTATAGATCCTCTAGGGGTTGGTCCAACATCTTAGAAGAAAGAGCTTTAATAAAAAAGGATCTCTGTTGAAGAGTAAGGACTGGAGACAGCATCAGAGTTTTTGTTGACAATTGGATTATATTCCTGAGGTTAATGGGTATGCATTGGCTTCCAGAGATTTAGATGAAGAAAAGAGTTTGACTGTGAAGAGCTTAATTAGAAATAATTCTTGGTGTTTGAAGGAATGAAAGATTGGTTCAGTGATGAAGATAAAGTTCTCATTAACTTTATTAATATTCTTGGATCAAATTTGGCAGGTAAGTGTCTGTGAATGATAAGCAGAGATGGTAATTACTCTGTGAAGTTGGGGTATAGGGTAGCTTTGGGCAGAGAAGGTGATAGAAGATTGAGAGATCCGGGAGGCACCTCTAAGGTATCTAAACAGTTGTAGAATCAATTATGGAACCTGAAGATCCTCCAAAGTAGCTCATTTTATGTGGAGAGTAGTGAGTGGAGCTTTGGCCACCAAGGAAGCTCTTCTTAGAAGAAAATGCTCCAGTACACCTGCCTGTGATATTTGCAGATGTCAGGTGGAATCAATTAAGCATGCTTTATTTTTATGTCCATAGGTTGAGAAATGTTAGTTTGGGTCAAATTTGTCACTGAGATTCAATAAATCAAGGATGTGTAATATGGCCAGGTGGATGGAGGAATCGATGAATCAGAAGATGGGACATGATGATTTAGTATCACTCTTTTTGCTACCACCTGCTGGAAAATTTGGAAAGCTAGGTGCAGGCATATTTTTGAAGGTACCGAGGTGGATGCTATCAGATGTGCAGCAAGGTTGTTGAGACTAGTTAGAGATTATGATGAGGCTCAAAAAGAAAGGGGGAGACATAAGATGGAGCGAAATGGTGTTGAAAGAGCGAGAATTTGGAGGGCACCTGAGAATGTGGATGCTTCTTTCAAGTTATTTGATATGACTGCTTCTGTAGGGTTTGGGAATGAAGGTGAAGGCATATTCAGCTCTTATTGCAAAAACCTCGACCATTTTGGGAGCTTTAAATTGCAGTCAGAGGTGGGAAGGAAAGAAGGTGATAGTTGAAACTGATTATCAAGAGCTGTTTCACAGATTGAGAGCTTCTGAATTCAAGGGATGCGAGTGGAGCTATGAAGATGTCATGCTAAACTGCAGAACTGGTCTTTGTCTTTGGTTTCTCGCAAGGGCAATAGAGCTGTGAAGATTTTGAGCTTTCTAATTGTGACTCTTTAGCTACGACTGGGATTGGCTAACTACTTGTTGCTTGTTGTTCTTTGTTAAGTGTTGTTTTGTTTCTTTGGTAGGTTGTATGCTAGGTTATTTTGAGTGCATGGTTTCTTTGGTAAGTTGTGTTAGGTGTTTTTTTTTTTTTTTTTTTTTGACCTGGTGTTAGGTTGCATGCTATGAATGTTTTTTTTCCCCCCGGTTGTTCGCTTTGGCTCCTGCTGTTAGTTTTCTGCGCGCTGCCAATCAATTATGTGTTGCCTATAGCATTAAACTACTTGTTCGGCAATTTATCCCTGTGAGAAATTATTATGTGAAACACTTTAACTCGAAAAGCTTTATTTTATTTCACAATGTGCATAACCGTTCTTCTACTTGTTGAACAATTAAAATATCTCGTATTATTCTTCATCAGTTTGAGCTATATTTTAATTTTTATTTGATTTCTATATTATAAATTGTAATTGATTTTTATATCTATTTAAAAAAATCTAGGTTTATTTCAAATTTTTAATTCATATGCTGTGACTTTTTAAGAAAACATCAATATAATTTTAATTTTATTTAAACGATAGAGTTGTTACCGTGTGTTTTTGTGTGTGTATGGGAAAAAAAAAAGAAATTATCAAATATTATTAAAAACGGTGTTTTTAATAATATTTGTTGAAGTATTTGTAAAAATTTGCAAAATAAAAAATTAAGAAAATCATAAATTATAATTAAGGTGAAATTACTAGTATTTCTTTTGAAAAATAAAATTTTTGTACTTTAATTATGGAATAAGTATTTAGTTTGAAATGAACGAATTTGAAAAATAAAAAATTGAAAAAGAAGCATAAGAGATGGAAAAAAAAACGTACTCTACATAGAGAGGAAAAATAAAATAAGATAAAAGTTGTTGGGAAACAGATAAAAATCTTTAAAAAAAAAAAAAGATACTGGCATATAATAAGCATGTATGTTGCATTTAAATTTGGTTGAACAAGCATTTTATGAGTTGCATTTATTGTATAATTTGTAATTGATATTTTATACTTATCATGATAATTTTTGTTTATAGCACATTTTTAGTTATTATGTTGTAATTTTTTAAAAATATTATAATTTTAATTACAATTTAACAATGTTGAATTGTTACAATTTATATATATAATAACTAAGTAAAACTAACTCCAAGCTTATCTGTATTTTAATATTATTTAAATATTAAGATGAGAAAAAAAAATTAAAGTAATTAAGAGACAGAAAAAATCTTGATAAAAAATATTGTATGGTTTGGAGTTTTGTCATCAAATAGTACATGTGAGGATTTCTTTTTCTCTGTGTTGCAAATTTCACAACATCCATATATTCATGATTGGGATTTTAGAGAAAAACAAGATCTCATTTTAGAGAAAAATATTAAAAAGAAAAGAAAACACCCAAATAAGTGCGTACCTGTAAATGAGTTCATATCCAAATACAATTTTTTCAAAGATGTGCAGTTGCTTATTGATTGTGGAATTCTTCCCTCTAATTGATTATCAGCAACACCAAAGAGTTCAAGTAAGGGGAGATGATGACACATTTCTTCTGGCAAATTACCCTTTAAATGATTTTGGCTAAGGCCAATAGATCTCAAAGAAGACATGTTCCAAAGAAATGAATGAATTTCACCTATAAATAAATATAAAATATTTGTTAATTACTTGGTAGTATGGCAAGCATGTTCCTAATAAATTCGTCGGTACACAAGCATATAAATAATAAATGAAATTTTGGTAATTAGATGCTTAAAATTTATTTTTTATTGCACCGTAGTTTAAAAGAACTCTTCCAATATTAATAACCAATTGGATGTTAAATTTGTTTCAAAGAAGAATCGCTGAAGATCAGAGACTATGGAATTAATCTCACCTAATCTAAAAGGAGCATCCAAATTATTTATATTTTGTATTATAGTTATTGAAGTATTTAAAAAGGCTCTAACTTTAAGATCTGAGGATGAATTCATCATAGGCCAAAAAAAGGGCTGAAATTTTAGTTTTTCTTTAAGGAATTAAAATACTTTTAGTTGCACATTTTGGCGATAAAGCATAAAATTAAAGATGGAATTTCACCCGTTTTAATGTAAAAATGGATAAGATATGAGTTATGTATATGTTGACGAGAGAATTAGAAATATTATGATTGTCAAATAAAAACAAACATTATATTGATAGCGAACGCATACTTATTCTATTGATCCAAAATTATATTTTATTTCTCTTTTTAAAGACATTTTTGCTGGGGTAAAAATTGGGAGGTATCCTTGAAGATTACTATACCACATCACATACTGATAGTCCACAGTTTTTCAGACCGGTTTTTACAGGCCTTCTCTAAATTTTTTTAATGATCTAAAATTATATTTTATTTCTCTTTTCAAGCATTTCTATTATGAATGCAAAATCTTTAGTAAGCTTCTCATGATTCTTTAACATGAATGAAAGAAATGAAAAGCAAAATCGCATTTAAAAATTATTTTTCATTTGAGAGATGAAAACAAAAACAAAAACACACACGATCTAAGACAATCATATAATTAAAATTCTTACCTTGCAAAATGTTCTCGGTAAGAGCAAGAAGTTGGAGGTTTGTCAAATTTCCAATCTCACTTGGAATGATTCCTAGACAAATTATATATGGTGAAGTCATTTTATTGAGCAAAGTATATTAATGATGTAGTAGATTAAGAATAAAATGTTAACAAAAATTGTTTTTCACATGTTAAATATATCAAGTGGTCCCATCAGTCCATGATCTTACCTTTTCTTTATTTTGGCATTGTAATATTGTTTGCATATAATATACATAAATAATAAAGAAACTTCACGTGTCTTACGTAGTAATTTCAAAAACTTGAACATCTGTGCTATACTGATTAATCCATGCATAAATATTAAAAAGGAAAAAGGCAAAGTTCCTCTAACCATCAAATTTCTTACGTTTTAATATCGCAAATGAGTACATTAAGTTTAGCTATATAACCTTTATGCATTGCCAATTAATCATGTACGGCATAAAGCATTAAACTATTTTTTCAGCAATTTATCTCTGATGAAGGAATTTATTTTGTGCAGTTTTAGTGAGAAATTATTAAGTATACTTTGCTGAACAAAAAAGTTCCACGTAATGTTTAATAATTCCACATTTTTTAATGTAAGCCCCCACGCTTTCTCCCTCATGTTGATTTTTCATCCTTCTTTTAAATTTCAAAGTAAAATAATTATTAAGAAATTATTTGTGGATAATTTTTTTTAAAAGCTTTATTTAATTTTTTAAAGAATTGAAGATGCTGAATAGTTCCACTTCAATATGAATGATTTAAAATAATACAATTAATTATTTGTCAGACTATTTAAAACATCTCGTATTCTCATTTATTTTTTTGAATTTTTTTCTTCTAAACTAGCTTAAGCTCAAATATGGTTGAACTAGTGTTTATTGAATTATTGCATTTAAAATTTTAAATTAAATTCTTTTAAATTATTCACAATTGATATTTTATACTTAGTTTATTTAAATAAATTTCTTGTTTATTGTAATAAATAAGGAAAAACACAATTGCAAACTTCTCTGTCTTTAGCATTAAATAAACTTATCCCACCATACGAAAACTTTCAAATATTAATACTAACTCGGGCATGTCTAAAAATAAGTCGAGAACTTGCCTTGCCTTGAATATAACAAAAGAATTTCAAGTAAAACTCATTTCAATTCAGAAGAGTAAAATACAAAAAAAATTATTTGTTTCATTAATTTCAACTCTTTTAAAAAAATTTAAAATAAAAAATTATGAAGATTATAAATGACACTTGAGGTAACATGATTAGTATATTGGATAATTATTTAATTTTTTGTTGATAAAAATCATTTAATTTGAAATTAATGAATTTGAAAAATAAAAAATTACATGAGTGAGCGAATTTACAAATTTTATCTCGTTGTTTTATTATTTTTCACATGAGGCATGTGGGCACATTATATGCTGAGTACTTAAAAAGTTGGAAAAATATATATGATAGTCCCTGTACTTTTATCAAATTTTGAATTAGGTTTTTTTTAATTAATTTCAAGTAATACTCATTTCAATTCAGAAGAGTAAAATACAAAAAAAAATTACTCATTTTTGAAAGAAATAATGATTGATTAATTAATTAATAATAAAACTAAAATATAACTTAGATGGCCCAAATCAAAACTGAATGTTCCAGATCCGTGGGTCGTAAGCCTTCATCATTTTGAAAAACACAATCCTTTTAGACATTCCAAATGACATAATAGCAGTATTCTTTATTATTCCCATACTAGCTCTTATGAAATTTCGAGAACAAATGTTCTCTCTACTTCAGTTCTAATGCGTGATTTATTGAAAAGAATATCGACGACTACATTTTTGAAAACAAAAATAAAAACTTATAAGCAATGCGCGCAAAGATACCCAAGAAAATTGGGACACACAGTGTCACGTTGTTTTATTTCTTTATCATCTTAGCTTATTTATATTAACTTGGATGAACAATATAAATGAAGTGATGAAAAACAAAATCTTATTTTAGAGAAAAATACTATAAAGAAGAGAAGATGTGCATACCTGAAAATGAGTTCATATCCAAATATAATTTTTTCAAAGATGTGCAGTTACTTATTGATTTCGGAATGCTTCCCTCTAATTGATTATTATCAACATCAAAGACTTCAAGTAAAGGGAGATGATGACACATTTCTTCTGGCAAATTACCTATAAACGGATACAAAATATTTGTTAATTAGTTGACTAGGAATTTCATGAATTCACATTTAACGATATAAATGATGAATGGAGTTGTGTTAATTAGAGCCTTAAAATTATTACAAAATAATTTACTTTTTATTGGAATGCAATTTAAAAGGGACTCTTCTAATATCAATGACAAATCAAACAGTAAAATTTCTTTCAAAGAAGAAATGCTAAAGATAGATTATGTAATTAATTTCACCCATTTAAAATAAGTAATCAAATTATTTATAGCTTTCATATAAATGATTTAATACTTTCAAGGCTCTAGCTTTGAATATGATGAATTCTTTATAGGCAGTTTTAGCTTTCATTATTTAAGGAGTTAAAATACTTCCAGTTACACATTCCTGAGATAATATAGTATAAATAGTAAATGAATTTTCTCACCAAAGCACTGTATACTATAATTTTCACTCTTAAACCAGTTTCGGTTAAAAATTTTGCAGGAAATGTAGAATAAGCATAAATAAAAAATAAAAAATTTGTTAAAGTGCAAGGTTAAGAGGGTTTATTGTAGGATCCTTTCTTTTAAAGGAGAAATGTTGATGGAATTGTGTGCGTATTACATACATACACACAGACACACACATACATATATATATATATATGGAATATATGCAAGATTCCATATAAACACACACACACACACCGTTTTCAGACTATTCGGAATGTTTTATCATTTTTTTAAATTATATTTCCTTTGCATGCTAAAGACCTACTCATTTTTAAAAATAACACTATTACGTAATTAACTAAAATTATTTAAAAAAAGACATGACTCTTAAATGATAATATATTATTTTTTATGTAAGGCATGAGGTTTTTCTTTCTCAGCAGGATCAAAGAAACATTGAAACCCAACTATAAGTCCTTCTCTTCGGGCTCCCATGTTTTTCACTTTTAGATATGTGTAAAAATTATATATAAATAATAAATAAAAAATATGTTAAAGTGTAAAGTTAAGGGATGGTTAGATCAAGCTTACTTGCAAAGGGGTTGTATTGTAGATATACTTTCTTTTAAAGAAGAAATGTTGATGGAGTTGTGTGTGTATGTTTTATCGTTTTTTTAAACTATATTTCCTTTGCATGTTTAAGACTCGCTCGGTTTTTAAAATAACGCCAACATATAACTACAATTATTTTTTTAAAAAAGGCATGACTCTTAAAGGATAACTTATATTATGTTTTATGTAAGGCATGAGGCTTTGCTTTCTCAGCAGGTCATTGTGTGATTCGTTGAGAATTTCAGATGATAGACTATAATGAAAACTAGTCACCGACAAGACAATGCAGCAGAACATGGAAAACAAGAGGCTACAAGAAGAACATTGAACCCCAACTAAGTCCTTCTCTTTGGCCTTGCATGATTTTCAATTATTCAATATTTTATTTCAATTTTTGACATTTTTGTGAAACTTTTATATAAAAGAAAGCACAGTGATTTTGGGATTGAGAGAAAGAATCAAGTTTCATGTCTTTAAAAGTAATCTAACAACAAAATTTAAAACAATCATATAATGAAAACTCTTACCTTTCAAGTTGTTTCCGCGAAGATATAGCCACTGAAGTTTGGTCAAATTTCCAATCTCACTTGGAATGGTTCCTGGATTGAATTTGTTATCCGCCAACTCCAAATTTGCCAATTCCTTGCACTGATGCCAAATGGAGGGTATCTCCCCAGACAAATCATTTTCCTGGACACATAATGTTTCAAGTTTCGGAAGCCCGAAACACAAATTTGTTGGGAGACTTCCAGATAAGTTATTTTTTGCAAGTCGGAAGTCTTGCAGCACTGAATTGTTGAATAATGAAGATGGTATTGAACCTGCAAGGTGATTATTCACAAGATACAACTTTTTTAGCTGTGAAAGATCCCCAATCTCATTTGGGATGCTCCCTTCAAATATCAGAAGGAAAAAAGAGAATAATATTAGTAACAATTTTTATTTATAATAAGTTACTATGTACATTAGATAAATCTGTATTTAAAAAAAACACATATGGTAAGACTTGCACATTTTTTTAGAAATAACTCAAATATATTCTAAATAATAAATTAAACCACATCTACAATTTGGCTCAAAAAGGAATAACCCTTCCAATTTGGCTGGGCTATTAACCATAGAATAGATAATTTGGACATGTGATTTGTCGAGAAAGTTGGTTGGCTTACTGTCGAAGAACATATTGGGCTATTCCAATTTGACAAATTTTGATAGATTCATGGTGATCAAGACTAATGGATATATTGAAATCCAATTTACCCTTCCTTTTCATCATTCCTATCAAAACGAGCACACGTTTGTTGGGAGACTCTGAAATTCTTTTTGCTAACTTTACAGACTTTTATACAAATAATTATTACCAATAAATTATAAAATTAAAATATAATTTAGATGATCTGAATCAAAATTAAATGTTCCAAATATGTTTGTTATGATCGAGGCGTGCCGAATTTGAAAAAACGCCTCAAGAAATTTTTAAAACATATATTTTCAAAAATTGATGATAAGCCATCATAATTATTTTCAGAAAGTGAATGCATTACTAGCTAAATAAGTCCTATATAGGAACAATTCAAGATCAAATCCATAGGCCATGGCCAAAAAAAGAAAATTCACAGGTCAATCAAGATTATAGGTGCGTGGTGACAAAAATCAACCCATTCACTAATCCGACATGATCTAAATAATTCCTAAGAATTTAAAAAAGAATTCTTTCACAATGATATAAATTTTCATAGATTAACAAAAAAATATTTAGTAGTACTGAATCATTCAATATTAATAATGAAAAATTGAATGCTATGTTTTGTCACCTTACCTTATAAATAACTAACTTCAATTTTGAGAATGAAGCATCATTCAAGAAAAACCACGTTCAACACACCTAATATTTGATTCAAAGCTAAATATTTCTTTAGATCATTGGTAAAGAAAAAAGAAGCGAAAATAAAAAGAACTTAAGCTTGTAATCCCTCAAAGTTCAATATCATGTCATCAATTTAATAATATAGATAGTTCATATACGAAACCGTGAGCATAATTTTTTTTATATCTATTTGTTCATTTTTAGTATTTTTATTTGTAATAAGTAACATACATAAGAAAAAAACTATTATTTAAATACAATATTTTTTTAAAGAAATGATAATTAATTAATAAATAGTAAACGTAAATATAATTTAGATGGCCCAAGTCAAAATGAGTGCTCCAGATCCCTGGATTGTAAATCATTTTGGTAAAAACAATCATTCTAGGCTTTCTAAATGACATAATAGCAGTATTCTTTTACTATGGACATGCTAGCTCTTATGAAATTTTGAGAACAAATATTCTATCTACTTGAGCTCTAATTCGTGATTTATTGAAAAGAACATCGACTGACTATATTTTTTAAAAAACAAAAACTGATAAGAATTGGGCAAACATATCCAAAAAAAAAAAAATCGGGACTAACCCAAACACATGATGGTTGAGGATTTATATCCTCATAATTAAATAGACTAGTTTTGAGCAAACACAGGTATAAACATAAAAAATAGTCTAAACATACCTGACAAACTATTAGAAGACAACCAAAGCAACTCAAGCGAAGACAAGTTGGAAACTGTTTGAGGAATTGCTCCTGAAAGTTTGTTGCTTGAAAGCTGTAACTTCTTCAAGTGCTTTAGACTTCCTATCTCAGGCGGAATGGTACCTTCAATGAGATTGGAATTCCAATCTAAAGTCTCCAACCTTGATAGGTTGAACAGAGATAATGGAATAAATCCATTGAGACTGTTATTTCGAAAACTTAACTGCTCAAGCATAGATAAATCTCCTATCGATGTTGGAACTTGTCCATGAAAGTCATTATAACTCAAGTTGAATAGTCTCAATTGACGTAATCGAACTAAGTCTTGAGGGATTTGACCGTGAAAGCTGTTTTTATTGAGATCAAGTTCAACAAGGAGTGAGAGATTTCCTAGTTGTGGAGGTATGGTGCCCTTAAGTTTCATGCCACTAAGATTCACGGAACGGACCCTTTCATGCTGAGTATCGCATGTGATACCAGCCCAACTGCATGGAGAAGAAGAGACAGACCAATTAGCTAAGAAATCATATGGATCAGAGGTGATAAAGGATTTAAGAGTAAGAAGTGCAAATTTGTCAGTATTGATGTTTGTATCAATGGAAGCTAAGGTGACTGTAAAGCAAAGAAGCAAGATGATGAGGAGGACAAAGGAGGAAGGTTTTCCCATATTGATCATATCAAACTCATCAGATCTGGCGCAACCAGGAACTAACACACATATCGTTTTATACCTGTCCGATTCCGAATCAAGTCAAGTCAAGCTAACAAAATGCATTGTTCCTCTGGAGCGGATGAAAATTCCGTAAATAAATATATTTTAACGTCACGTTATTCCTTGATTAAATTATCATAACCCAAAAAAGAAAAATAAAAGAAAATAAAGATAAAAGAAAATGTGAGTACATTGAAAAGTAAATAAAGATAATAATTAAATCTAAAAGTTTTGGAAATTTTCTTGTGAAATTATGGGGATATCTATTATATAAGTTATATCCAAAAGATTTCTCCAGTTATTCCAAAATAAACTTCATTCTTCCCAAAGTATTTAGCTACATTTTATTATAATTGTTTTTCATTTTCTGGAGATGAAAAATTGCAAAAATATATTTCTGAGGTTTAATAATTATTATTAATATATTTAGATATTCCTTTTTATGGATTTGATGTCGTAATATATTAAACGTTCTCACTGTTTTAAATTTAACTATAAAGATGTCATATTTATTTGTTATACTTTTCGCATTCACAAAAATAACCAAAGACTTCAAAGCTGAATCGTGTATATCTTTTTTTGTTGTGGATTTATCTTTTTACTGTGTGTTTATCTTTCTACCCTTTTTATTTTCACAATTTTGAATCGAATTGATGATCATGTAATTAAATGAAATTTAACTTAATTAACTTCAGTACTGACAAAATCAAAGAAAATTTAATTTGTAAAATATTATAATACTAATTTTATAAAATATTAAATATCAGGCTTAAAAAATTGAAAAAACATTCATAATGAAAGGAACCTTTGCCCCTTCATTTTCATTTATAGTCAGTCTAGGCCATATATGTGGAAAGTAGCTAGTGGGAAGAAGCTTGTGTGAACATATTGTCCCTAGCGTTGACAACCACATATATCAAAAGTCTATAGATTCTAATTAATTGGATGTATTATATACAACGAGCCCATTATTTATTAATTGGAGTTCTCGACTTGTTGTGAGTAGACATCAAAGTCACATCATTTCACAGGAAACAACTTTTGTAGAGGTGATATCATTTTAGTTTACCCAGAGGAAAAATACCACGATTGAATTCATAAACACATAAATAATGCAGCTTTTAATTTGTTCTACAGATTTTATATTTTGTTTGTGGCAAAAAGAGTATGTAATTTTTTATGTACGTTTTGAAAGGCAACCACTCACTTTGATAATCCACTTTCTACGTCACAAACTTGAAGGGATCATTATGTGCAATTTTTTTAAAAGCATTTTGAAAAAGTATACTGAAGGATAATATTCTAACAAAATTAAGGCTGGTGTAGTTTGTATGAATATAATTAAGGTTGATAGGTTGCGGATTAAGATTACCCACAAAAAACGTTAGCCGAGAAGACGTCAAAGAAACAAAACAATTGGCGTACTTGAAATTTTTTATTGGTTTTGATATCCTTTAACATTTCATGAGCATAAAGCAAAACATGAATGAAATTTTAGAGATTATCTACTTTTTCCTGAATATAAAATATGAAATAATCAGTATAAAAAATTAGCTATAGTAAAGTATGAAACTATTTGAAAACTATTAGTTAATTCTTTTAAGAAAATTAGTTATTTTGTTTAGGGGTGTTCAACATTGGCCCATCCTGGTCGGCCTGCTGCGATCCCGGTCTTATTAGGATAGGACAGACCTGTCCCGAAATTTTTCAGAACGGGACAAACCGGGACGGGACAAAAAAAGAGACTGGGACAAGGGACGAGGTCATTCCGTTCCGGTTCCTTTTATTTTTTTATCATATTTATATAATATAATTTTTTAATATTTTTTTAAGATTTGAGACCATTGTATAGAATTATGGACCCATTTATTTAAAGCTTTTATATTTGTTGATGATTTGGGACTACTGATGAATAGAATTTTCAACAAGTTTTTATTGTGTTCAAAACTTTTATTTAGAGTTTTTAATGACTATTATATGTAATATTTTGAGCTTTTGTTTGAGAGTACCTAAAGAAATAAAAAAGAAAACAAAAAGATGTTTTTACAAGGGTTAAGCCCAAAAAACTACAATTAAAAAAACAATCAGATTTTATGGTGCCCAACAACTCAAAAAATTTTTAAAAAAATTATATTGGGACGTCCCGATCCCGTCCCTTCCCGTCTCGACCAAGACCGGGACAATACTGGGACGGGACGGGACACGGGACAATTTTGTTGTCTCATTACTATTCATCGGGACGAAACTAGGGCGGGCTTATCCCGGTCCTGAACCATCCCGTGAACAGTCCTAATTTTTGTTGATAATTAATTTAGAAAGAAGAAAGATATAGTGCGCGCGCATAGACAGGCTAAAAATGAAACACCATATATTACAATAAAGATCAAATTGAGAAAGCACGCAAGCCATTAAAAAAAAAAGCTAAGATGTGCATATTTGTTGAGTCTAAAGGCAAAAAAAATTGCGTTAATTTGAAATTTTAAATTAAGTAACACTCACTTAACATGTCAAAAAAACAAAACAGAGAAATTCGGTAGATGACCATAAATTCAAAATTACATCATTTGACTTGATGGTATGAAAGTGCTGCGTACAAAAAAGAAATGAAAAAAAAAACAATGTATAATATAAATCTAAATCCTAGAAAATGTGCCGTAAACATGTTCTAAGAATATCTTCGACCAATTTAAGGAACTTCTAAATTTATTAAAAAATTTAGAAATTTCCACTTAATCTTTCAATTTCACTTTTTAAACATATAAATAAGAGCTTAATTAATTTCTTTGAGACTAGCCAAACAAAGACATTGGTAATACACTAAAGGCTAAGATTCATTCAGTATCCTAAAACATTTGTGGTACAGTTTTGTCTTTAGATGTAAAGTGTGGAACGCATCTAGAAAAATATCTTAGGTGCTAAATGAACTACAAAATAATTAAAGATGTTGGGTCAGCAAACAAGGAGCAAGCATAAATGGAAGAGGCAGAAAATCTTTTATTTTTTCACCTGGTCACGGTGGATAGCGAGAATAAACTTTATTTTTTTATAATATAGCGTTTTTATAAACTTACTAATTCTAAAAAGATATACTTAAGTAAATATTTAATTATAAATTAATTAAAAAAGATATAAGATATCATTGGTCGCAGTTTCAACGGTTGTAAGATGGGTTTCTCATTAAAAATAGAGTTGTAAAACTTTTATGTTCCTTTCTTAATTATTTAAGGTTTCAATGACTAAGGACCCATTTGGTATATGCTGCTAAGCTACTCCCTCCATTTCATAATAAAAATTATTTCACAAAAATTTTTTTTGCACGTTTCATAATAAGTGTCATTTTCATATTTCAAGAAGCTAAGATATATTCTTTTGCCAACATTTCTGCACACTCATTAGTGTTCAAATAATATTTATTTAGAGAGCACTCACTAAGCAGAGGCATGGTAGACTTTTTAAATATTAAGTGGTCCGCAAAAGAAGTTAATACAATGAAAGAGAAAGAAAATCATGTTAGTGATAAGGAAAATTAAAACTTTGATCCGAAAAATAGTTTGTTACCACATTAATGACGGTATTTTCATTATCATTGCATTTCATGGGTGATAGAGCAACTTTACAAACTACGTTAGTATTGAAAAGAACCTTTGTCCTTTTAGGAAATATGATTTCATTTAGGGAGAATCCCAATTAAATCCAGCCGAAATACCTAAATTCAGATTTAGGCCTGCACTTTTAGCAAATTCCTAATCAGGTCATGAGACCTGATTAGGGATTTCTAAATGTTGTTAAATAACCAGAATGCCCTTCTTCAATTAAAAAGAAAATTTGATTAATATACCTCTCCCAAGTAATTCTTCATCTCTTATGATTTTTTTTAGACCAAAAAACATATAAGTAATTTTACAATGTTTGAAATTTGTGTATATAACTTACACTATTAAAAATATTTTAATAAAACATGTTAAATTACAAATATAAGTAAAATTATAAATATAAGTAAAGTTTAAATAAATTTTTTTAATTTTCAGTTTTTATAATTTACGTTAGTTTTATTTATTTAAACAATGTTGGATCCAACTGAAAACGTAAATGATTACAATTTAATATTAAATTTTTATTATAATTAAAATATTTTAAAATTTTAAAATAAATATTTACGACCCGAAAAAAATATTTATTTAAAGATTACTTATATTATAATTTGAAATGTTTTATGAAAATATTTTTAAGATTTTAGTTATATTACAAAATTTCAAACACTAAAAAATTATTTATATTTTTTTGCTAAATATTAATAATAAGAGATGATGAACCACTTTAGAGGGATAAATAATTAATTTTCATTTTTAACTAAAGAGGGCCATTATAGTTATTTAACAATATTCAGCAATTCCTAATTAGGTTTTATGTCCTGATTAAGAATTTGTTAAAAGTGTAGGCCTCAATTTAAATTTAAGTATTTCAGCAGGATTTAGTTAGGATTTTCCCTTTCATTTATTAGACCTCATTTTTATTTTCATTGTATTATTTGATTTATGTTTAGTCTTATTAGACCTCATTTGTGTTTTCATTGCATTATTTGATTTATGTTTAGTCTTGTGGGCCATGTATAGATAATACCTTCAGAATGACGTTATTACTTGGAAGAAGCATATGGGGACTTATTTTCCCTACTCTTCACAAACATATATATCAAAACTCTATAGACTTTAATTCATTGAAATAGGCCTCAAAGTCACACACCATTGCACATGAAGCAACGTTAATTTCTTTCGTTCGCTAGAGATTATCCTTTCGTTCGCTAGAGATTATCCCAAAAGAATGCTAGTTAGAAGACATCAAAGAAAAAACTAAAGATAATCATTAATGAATAATCATCGTTTGAGATGTGTTATCGTCAAGACGATGAGATTTGAACTGATCCAATTTTTAATTTTTCGCTTTTAAACTAAAAA